ATTCTACACTATCACCGCAATCAAAAGATTATGCACACTTCGGTCTGCCATTAAAACATTCTTTATTCTCACAAGGTGCGGGTTACCAGTTTTTAGAAAAGGTTGGCAAATCTATAGGAACCATCTACTGATAATCGTTTTCGTTGAGATGAAGAATAATATTTGCATTTGCTTTCGCCAAGTAAACGATTTTAATGTTAGTCTACAATTTTAAACGCTACTCTAGTTAAAAGCAATTTACTTCCAATGCATATTTGATTTCGTGCACAAACATCAAAACAATAATTCACGATAAATATCGTAAAATATGTTCAGCATATAGTAAAGGCACATCATCCTTAAAGCATACTACAGCTTGTCATAGAACTTCCCAAAATAGATCTAAAGCAATATGTAATTAACAGTTGACATATTTCATTAGCCTGTATGATGTAATACAGACATCCAAAAGTAGCTTAAAATAATCATGTGGATTCATTTTTTTGCGGATACTTCTACACTTCTACAAAAATGTTGCATTTCATGTATAGGCCCACAGTGACAATTTTCATTGCGATTAAGTTAGTTACAAGGATAATATGAATTTTCCAAGACAAGAATTATATTAACATCATTTATTAAAGCTTGTCTTCTCATTTTGTTTTTGTGCATAGTGCACACACATAAAAATAATAATAATCTACCAGATTGATAGTCATATTTTTTTTCAAAGTGAAGGTATATATCCTTAAAGCATACTACAGCTGGCCCATAGACCTTTCTTAAACAGTTTTAAAGCAATAACTAGTTTTACTTGACAGCATGACCTTTTAATTTCATTAGACTATGTAATATTATAGTTATTATAAACATGTTTTTTTTTTAATTTGTGACTCATTTTAATTTTACTCCGAACTCATTGAGGCACTTCTACAACAATGTTGTATTTAAGAAATCTTCAGTTTGATTAAGATAGTTACATAGGATAATACAAATATTCCAAAATAATAATTGAATTAATATCATTTAGATGTTAAGTTTGTCTTCTCAATATTTGATTTCATGTAGACACATCAGAACAATAATTCATCAGATATATAGTAAAGTGTTTCTGCAAAGTAAAGGCATATCATCCTTAGCGTACTACTACTATTACTAGCGCTGGTCATAGACCTTTCTAAAATAGCTTCAAAAGCAATATCTAATTAACATTTGACAATACGATATATCAATTTCTGAAGACTGTGTAGTATTATACACAATTCCAAAGTTCAAACAGTTCATTGTTTCTGATTATTCGGGCAGGTTTCCAGTTCCGAATTATTTGTAAACGGATACTGCGCTAACTGTTATTGCTCACTGTTATTTGTTTCTAAAGAATTCTTTCCATTGTTTATTAACGAGGACATTGAAACGAATACTACGGGATTTTTGATGAAAACAATTCTATGATGAGCTCAGTTACATTCACACCATTGTTTCAGTTATACATTTCAGACTGTAATATTATACACAGATTATCATTTTTTTTTTTTAATATGTGAATTTATTTGTTTGTACTCCTTACTCTTGTAAGGCACTTCTGTAACAACGTGATATTACAGTGGAAATCTATAAAGTTTGAGAAGTTAGTCACAAAGATAAAGGAAATGTTCCACAATAAGAATCATATTGACATCAATTTGAGGATAATTTTGTCTCCTGATTAACCGAATATTTGATTTCGTGCACAAACATCAAAACAATAATTCACGATAGATATCGTAAAACATGTTCAGGATATAATAAAGGCACATCAACCTTAAAGCATGTTACTGCTTGTCATAGACCTTCCTAAAACAGATCTAAAGCAATATTTAATTAACAGTTGGAATATTTCATTAGCCTGTATGACGTTATACAGACATCCAAAAGTAGCTTAAAATAATTATATTGATTCATTTTTTTTTGCGGATACTTATAACTCCTACGGCACCTCTACAAAAATGTTGTATTTAATGTACAGGCCTACAGTGACAATTTTCATTGTGATTTAGTTAGTTACAAGGATAATAGGAATATTCCAAGACAAGAATTATATTAACAACATTTATTTAAGCTTGTCTTCTCAATATTTGTTTTCGTGCACAGTGCACAGTAATCAAAATAATAATATACCAGATTTATAGTTATATTTTTATCATAGTAAAGGCAAATATCCTTTAAGCATACTACAGCTGGCCCATAGACCTTTCTAAAATAGCTTTAAAGCAATATCTAGTTTTTACTTGACAGCATTACCTTTTCATTTCATTAGACCTTACAACACTATTACTAGCGCTGGTCATATACATTTGTAAAATAACTTCAAAAGCAATCCATAATTAACATTTGACAACATGGCATATTAATTTCTTAAGGGTGTGTACACTTCCAAAAGATGTTTTATGTGGATTCATTTGTGTTGTACTCCTAACCTCAGACACCTGACAAAAATGTTGTATGACAGTGAAAATCTTCAGTTCGATTAAGTTAGTTTATTGAAAAAAAAAATGAATTATCCAAGATAAGAATAATGTTAACATCATTGAGAGGTAAGGTTTGTCTTATCAATGTTTGATTTCGAGCACACACATCAAAACAATAAAACGACAGATATTTCGTAAAATATGTTTCTGCACAATAAAGGCACATTATCCTTACAGCATACTAGAGCTGGTCATGGACCTTTCTTAAACAGCTTCAAAAGTCATATTTTACATTTGACAGCATGACATATTAATTTCGTTAAACTGTATATACAGACATGATCCAATATGTGGATTCATTTTATTTTTACTCCTAACTCCTGAGGCACTTCTGTAATAATCTTCGGCTTGATTGAGTTAGTAACAAGGACAATAGGAATGTTCCATGATAAGAATGATGATGATTTCATTTTGACGTTAAGTTTGTCTTCTCAATCTTTGATTTTATTCACACACATCAAAACAATAACTCACTAGATATATGGTAAAATATGTGTCTGCCCAATACAGGGAAATATCTTTACAACCTACCACAACAGGCCATAGACCTTTCCAACACAGCTTCAAAAGCAATATCTAATTTACATTTGACAGCGTGACATATCAGTTCCATTTGTCATAGGTATAGAAGCACAACCAAAATGCCAGGAATTACAAAACTGGTGTGCGCAAAGTACTGGGCCGGTTACTATATACACTGAGTTGCATCAAGAAGTGAAACATTTTTATGAGATGATAAAATGGAAACTTTAAACCGGTACTACAATGAGCTACAAATTTATACCTCCAAAAAAATCAATAAAGTATGTTATTATTATTTAGTAAACTACACGGGGGATACGTGTGAAAAGTACAAATACACTGACAACTCAATGGCCCCTACCATTAGGGGACCAACATGCATGAATGAATCTATCTCAATAATCTGTGTTGACCAAAGTCATGATAGTATCAAAACATGCCTACTAAACAGTGGAACCAATACAATTTCACAATGTACCAAACTTACACATTCAAAATAAAACAGAGGAACATGAGCTCAGACAAGATTGCAGTTAGACTATTCATCTTGCAGTTAGACTATCCGTCTTTTTGTAAGTATAATGATACATGGACGACGGTTTTTCAATATCTTAAATAAAGCATGGACTTCCAAAAATCGGAGTAAACTCACTGGACAGGTCACTGTTATTTCAATTTCATCTAGATTCGAAAGTTTCATATGATACAGACACGGACAAAGAGAAATAAAAAGCATCATATTGAACATGTTTTGTTAACTTGGTGTTACAAAAAGACGAGAAAAAAAGTCATGAATATGAAATAAAATCAACGAAGTGGAAGTGGACTGGTCATGTTCGCACAATGCAAGATGGCTGATGGACCACTAGTGTTACAAGAATGCACACAAACATGTATCAGAGGGAGAGGTAGCCAGGTAGAAGTTTAATTGACGACATCGGAGAATATGGCAGCATAACATTATTTTGAAAGAACAGCATAGAAACACTAGAGTAAATTGGGAAATTGATGAAAAGGTCTTCCTTCTGCAAGTGAGTGAAACAGATTATATGAAGAATTCGAACCTACATGTATTTCACAATATATCAGTTACACATTGTACACAGATTTAACCCAGTTAACCATTTTGAATGGTACAAAAAGTAACATTTGGCACGATATTTATATGTGTGGTTTGATATTTGAACTACAGATTGATGTAGAACCCTTCTGCAGGTGAATGAAATTAAAGTTGAACTTATGTTACATATTTCATTAAACAGGGTATATAAAGAATCCAATTCATTATACAGGGTATATATATATATTAAAAAAAAAACAGATGTAAATGTAAATTATAAAAAATGTAATCAACATTTTCAAATAAGTTAAAGATCATGTGGAAAACTAGTGTGTCCTCTTTCCAATGATACCTTGATTGTGTGCCTGTGGCCACGGATGAGCCAGCAATCTTAGCCAGGTAAAACTTGGCTCAGTACAGGTTTTGACCCTTGACCGAATAACAATGAATACTAAGTCATCCATGACCACAGATACACCATCAAAGTATCATTGGAAAGAGGACACATTGGTGTTTCACATGATCTTAACTCTTTTTTTAAAACATTTAATTGATTTATTTTTTATTACATTTACATCTGGGTTTCGTATTTTGGATACACCCTGTACAGATTTAACACGACCATAAATTAGCCAGTAGAATGGTAAAAAAAATAAACATTTGGCACAATATTCATTTGTGTGGTTTGAGTTTTGACCTACACTATCACTGTCGAGTATTTTTTGTTTCAGTGTTATACATTTGATTTTTTTTTCAAATACACACAGACGGAATGAAGAAGTTCCAATTTACAACCAAAGACATTTTTGGCAAACACCAGGTTTCTAATGATGCATGTACAAGTTCTTTCCTGTCGTGATTTTTCAAATAGCGGAAGTGAAAGGGAAAATGAAAAATATTGCCAGTAGCAAGTCATACTTTGGATAAAACATACGTCATATTTTACAAAATTAAAATTATCAAAAATCTGATAGGAGATTATTTCGGAGTGGTATGGAAGACTACCAACTTTTGAACATATGTTTAACCACACTGATTATGTGCAAACATGCGTGACCAGCAAAACAAAAGTGATTTCAGCACTTTTTCATGCGTTACAGAGGTTGTAATTGACACATTTACTGTCCCCCTCATGCAAATGCCTTGAACAAATTACTGTTGTTAATCTCTCTTGATAGTCTGCGATATACCTCTCATGAAAAACCCCTATGAAACAAGACATCTACATCTCCTCTTCTGAGTCGACCGATACCGACGAGTTACTTTACAGCGATTCTGCACTTTATCTGCTAGGTCACGTCTGTCAACCTGTATTAGAGCATCGATGAGCTCTTTGCGCATCTCGTTCACTTTATTTCCACGCTTTTGCCTCCACAGTACCAGCATTTGGAATATTTGCTCATTGACCGATTGTCTGTGATCTATCTCAATCTTGTCAACTTCTTCTTTTCTGATACCAAGGTATGAGGCCAATTGCTTCCACTCGTTACCAATGTCTTTCGCTATCTGTCTGAAATGGATATCACTCATGGGCTGTATATCCTCTGTGTGGGCAAAACAATAAAAACAAATTGAACATCGCAAAAATATAATATTTAATCCAATAGCCATTCCAGTTAAAATTAACAGAAAATGATAAAACATATCTCAACACAGTATAATGCACCGAGGAAAGCAAGAATACAGTATTAAGGGAACAAAAAACATAAGCTCCAAAAATAAGTGTTTTTTTTTAGCTTGAAGGCAAAAATACCGGCTGTGAGACTTGAAAGCATCATTTTCAGATGTTGCAAGGTATACTATTTACAACAGACAATTATGTTAAGATTAATCATAATAATCATTAATGGCCTTATCCCAGGGACTATATTTTTTCTGGGACTTTGGCGCTTTGGGCTTTAAGGGGTCAATATCTGGAAATGTTCAAGGGATATCAACGGGCGCCCTCCTGTATTTTGAAGAGGTACCCTCAAGCTACATGAATCAGCAGAGGAATTTTACTCGACAAAACCAGCTTCATGTAAATAGCAGCCTGAGACTCCCGAGACTCTTTCCCTTGTTAAAGAGTTTCTGTTTCTAAACGGTTTCATATCTGTCTCACTTTATCATCAAATTCAAAAAAGCGGCAGCACCAGTATAATTACAGGATCAGTGCATGAGACAAATGTGGCACATAATAAGACGCCAACACCACTTTTGTGAGTGTTTTGTCTTTTGCCATTTTGATGTGATACATTGCCAATAATGTGCCCAAATAAAATCACACAGAATGGTGTTGTAATGAACCTGCTCCGAGCCAGGTACATCTTCTGTACTCGTATTATTTCTTATGTTCTCAAAGAGCACTAAAAGCAGCAGCAGGATCATCAAAAGCAGAACAATCATCGCATGCCTTCACTCATGGGAGTAAATCCAGGAGAGGGGGGGGGGATAACATTCCCCCTATTCACTTGATGACCGGGAGACGGGGGAGGGGGCATTGGATCATTCCCCCCCCCAAAAAAACAAAAACAAAAACTTTCCAATAGTCCAAATAAATTAAACAGTTCTAAAAAAAACAGAGAACAAACAAAACAACAGCTTTAAACGCACCATTTTGATGTTAGGTTGAGATACAAGTGCCCCCTTGTGTCATTTTGTTATAAGTGCCCCTTGTGTCATTATGTTGTCGAGCCCCGCACCCCTATTCGACAGGAATTTTAGCATTTTATCATCCCTCACTCGCTGACACGGATTTACGCCACTGCCTTTACTTACCACGAGCGGAAGCTTCTTCCTCGGAGCTTTCCTGCTTGAACATGGCTTGGAATCTGTCCGTTTTGATGACTACTTGAGAATTCTCAAAGCGGCAGACAACTTCTGGCTTTTCCAAGCATTCTTCCAGTGGTAGAAAGTGGGTAACCTTGTCATTCTCATTAGGACACTGCACACTAATGCAATATTTGATTCGCTCAATCCACATGGTTTTCAACTTCTGCAAATTCTCTTCCACAAAGTCTTTGACCTGTTGTGAAACAATTACACTCTACATATTTCTGTATATGTCGCATTGAATTCCAGTTTGTAAAAAAAGAGTGAGAAAATTCCAATACGCACTGCAACACAGAGCTTTATTGACTTTAATTGATGCCTTCCGTATTATTTTAACAAACTTAAACCTATGCACTATACTTATCTAACCTCAAGCAAACACCTTCCATTTACATAAGGAATTTCAAATTCAAGGGTTCAGCATGCTTCATGTATATTCCCCATTCCCAGAGAAAAGCAAGGTAAACAGTACTAGATCCTCTGTCCTGCAAAATAAATGGTGCCTATTTTCTAAATACATAAATGCACTTGCTGTACTACAGAAAAAGTAAAAACGGTATAATTCCCCACATGTTTCCCGAGGTGAAGTTACTTTTCTTTGGTTCGTCTTAACTGCAAGTTTTTTGTACGCAGAGATGGGAGGGATGCAAAAAAACTTCACCTTTACCCAAAAATACTATATATAATGCTTATTGAACACGAGAATAGTTTTTTTTTCTCAGTGTAGGCTATGACTGTTTTTTTTACATTCTCTTTGGCATACAATGTTGGTCTATACTTAACATACCTTACGAGTGACATCAGCTGAAGGTGCATTGACATATTGTGGAGGTGGATAAACTTCTACCCTCATGACACTCACCTATAGAACACAGAGAAGGTCATGATACATGGTCATTTAAAAACTGCTAAAGTAAATACCGGATACAGGATGTGAATTTCACAAACATTGATAGCTTTTAAGACAAAAAAGATAAATACATGTTAAACGTAGGGTTTGTGGGGGTTTTCTTTTTCACTCCAGGGGGGATTATTACTCAGGCAAATGGACTCCGTGCATGAATAGTACACAATTTTGAGAGTCTCGGTGCGTGTACAAACACTGCCTTGTTGGGTGCCGGAACAATGGGAGGTACCCCACAAGGAATGCCCACCGACTTGCTGGGTACCGTTTTGGTACCCCACAAGTTTTTCACGAATAAATATATGGATTTTACTCAAAAACTAGGAATTTCCAAGGTGGGTTGATCCGTCGCAAATGGAAGAGTTTTAGAAAAGGGATATTAAGTCCGAATTTCAGCCCAGGACATTAACTCTGGTTAGAATAATAGCATTTTGACATTAGTGTGCGACGTTGCAAAATTTTAGTACACGAGAACAAAGGAAGTACCCCACCTCTATGCCTATATGTAAGCGTGTGTGGGAGAGATGTACAGGTGCACCATGTGCAAGTATTGGGTTATGCGCGTATGGCGTGAAGTATCCCTCACATGCACAGTGGTTCCCCCGTAACCATTGAATGGGTTCTTGCGATGCATCAACACTAGACAATGTACTTACTTTGATGTATGCAAGGTTTGATTCGTGCACCATTTGCAGTGCAAACTTGTGATGGTCATCTACATAGAAATTTGCTCGATCATAGAGCAGGAAAGGATTTGTTCCACCCAATTTTTGAGACCATCGCAAAGCTCGCACAACCAACCGATGGTGCAATCCATCTGGAAAAAAGGGAAATGATCAGAAGAGGGATAGATACCCCAGTTTTATAGCACCGGAATAGCAATTCCGAGATTGCAAGTTCAAACCCCGCTCCAGTCTGTTTCTAAATTTGTTGAACTTTAAATTAAAAATGAAATAAATGAGGTTCTGGCTAACTTTGATCAAAGGTAGAACCTAAAACAGTATAACTTGTATGAAGCATACAAATATGAAAGACAGCCAAAAACATACAGCAAAACAGACATACAAACAGGCATGCATGAAAAAGGTGTTCCTTCATTTTGTGTAAACTACCGTTTGATGCCATATTACCAGGGAGGAATTCTTTGAAGTCCACATAGAACACGTTTGAGTTCATCTCAGTTGTCTGAGGTTGAGGTGAACGTGATGTCTGCTGCCGCAACATTGAAGGCACATAATAAGATGCATTTGCGGGGCAAGGCTGTGTGGCCGTGGATGAAGCAGGGGTACTTTTCTCTTCCTCTCGAGACTAAGTTGGAAAACATTTACACTATTTATAAGATGAACATATGTATAGTAGTAAAATCTTCGCTGAAATACCTTTTGAACTTCTGAGAAGGCTTAGAGAGATCAGTCCGACAACGTATTGATAGTACATTCGATTTGACCGTACACAGAACGATCATTTAGGTCTCAAAAACTTTGCTTGTCACGCTCCACCCACAGTTACCGCCCACAATGACTGTTCACTTCCTTACATTTATTAATCAAATGAAACACTGTTGCACATCATGCAAGAGGATTCCAACTCGTTTGTCAGCACGAAAATCAATATAAGAAAAGAGAATTTTAAATGGCGAGATCGGAAACCACAGGAGTTGTATATTATGCATTCCAGGAAACATTATGGCTTGAAAAAGGAATGCATGTGAAAATAAAAGGTCATTGTGGTGCACAGCTCAATTCCATTTTGAAATCTTTCAACAACAAAAATTCGTCAACAGGTTTCCTATCATGCAGTAAGAGCAAACACAAATTAATCTTTTATGCTACCATCGCAATTGTATGTCTTTAGTCTCCGACCAAAAAAATGAAAGTAGAACCCTGCCTGCTCGATGAACAGAACATAGATTTTTTTTTTTTGAATTTGCGTTTTGTTTTGTCTAAATATGCAGTCAGGTAAATTATATGCAAGAACATAGTTCCACGAAGCAAACAAAATACGCAGGTAAGGTGTCTGCGAGCTTTGGAAAGAAAATGCAAGGATTCCTACTGCCCTATTTCATTTTTCAAAACACTCATAGGCCTAAACATGTACATTTGCTTCGATAGAGAGATTCATCACTCATTGCAGGAGGTAGCTTGCATTGTAAAAGTCCTTATTATTTTGTTATGTTGATTTTCGTACTGATAAACGAGTTGAAACCTCTTGCACGATGAATACACCAGTGTACAATTTAAATAATAAAAGTGAGGCAGTGGACAGTCATTTTGATTGCCATTTTGGCTGGAGCGTGACAAGCAAGGCTTAATTATCACTGGCTGAGACGTAATTGACCGCCCTGATCTGTGTATGAACAGTAGTACTACAGACTATAACCACGCTATAACTGAATTTCAAAGAGCTGGCTTCTGGTTGCGGTTTGAGACACATTCATGTAGCCACATGATTATACGCACTTTCCGCCTCAATATATAGCAAACTTGTGATGAATATAAACATGTTACCTCAAGTAGTAAAAACATTTTCCGAAAAGATTACTTCCAAGATCATTGTGATATGATCCATGATTTAGCTTTTTCAAGTCTGGACAGGTCACTGTCTGATTTGTGACTTACGTTGCGCATGCCTGATGATATGCAAGGTTCTCTAGTCGAAATATATAAGTTTGATAACCCAACTAAGCTGGTCCTGGACCCCTGCTATTCACTTTGATAGCAGGTCTATATTGAGAACTGGAAGTATGATTTACCTTGGTAAGCTGTAGTCCAATGGACCAGTCCAACCATTGTTAACTAATTATGTTCAAAGGCGGAAGAAAGTCTAGATGTACTTATGTTATGAATGACCCCTTGTCCCCACCTGGCTCCCATAAGAAAATAAGTCAGATTTTGTATACTATACTTATATGGCTGGCAATGGATGAATCCACTCCCATACATTGAAACGTGTGTTATACTGCCGTTCTGAACTTGTTTACTGAAACCACTAGCTGTAATCACGTTTGCTTGTACCCGTTACATTCTAGATTTGAAATGTGAATGCCTACAAAACATACCTCATCAACACGCTCACAGAGAAGGTCAAACTTGTCCATCAGATCCAGCAGGGCCTGTTTGTGCTCACGGATGTCTTGCCACATGTGGTCGATAAGAAAATCCTCCAATATTCCTTTGTCTTTCAGTCGATCCCAAGATTTGCGATACTTTACGGTCTCCATTGGGAACAAAAACAATGATTTTGTTCCTTTAGATGTTGTAATTTAGGGTTTTAATTAAATTCACAAGAAATTTTCTACCTGGAAGAACTCAGGATTGACGCAAAGGTAGTGCCGGGTTAAAACAAGTAGTGTTTTACAACTGAATGTTTTTGATCCCTTCCAAACCCATGTCAACCGCCAGATTGGTTAAATCCTCGACACGGGTGAGCATTTCTTACCACTGAATAGTTGAAAGTGTGAAGCCAACAGAGCCAGGTTCCCCTGTGTTGAACTTCGTGGCGTTATATCTACTTTTGGGGTCACAGGCAGATGCTTTCACTGAATTTGTTTGCTGCATTGCACATGTCCTTGACACTTGCTTCTTCATTTGGAATTAGATGTTTTTTTTTAATTTGGGATTTGATTAGGCGCAACAGTACATGAACAGATTCTGAGTTGCGCAACAAATACTGAAGCGGCAGCCCTTGGCATTTACCCTGTTACAAAAAAAGTGTAAGAGTACGTAAGAAACGAAACTTGGGTTGAACTTCACATGGGTAAAATAACTCAATTTATGCCAAATAGGTATGAAACGACACACACTTCAAGTATAGGCTTTCAAAATTTGAGACTTAACAATGGGTAGCCTTAGGGTTTACCCCGGGTTAGGTTCAACCTTGATGAAGAAGCTGATTCAGCTCTTGCTCATAAATACGCGCATATATTCAAACATCATCCCTGTCTGATGGTGTGTGTGACATGTACTCATAATATTGCATATGGGACGCAGATACCAGATACTTATTTCTAACTGAGCAATTATAAATGGTATGACTCGTGACTCGGACTTGGACTCAGTCCGACTCGAGATGCCATTTTCTGTAACTCGGACTCGGACTCGAGTCACAATGACAAATAAATCGGACTGGGTCTTGACCCAGCGGACTCAGACTTGGACTCGAACTCGACCTGCGTGACTCGGGACTTGACCAAAATTACCACAAATCACTCATTTTGTTCAATATAATTACAAATAATTTTCAAGACGGTCCTCTCCTGAGCAAGCGATACAGAGGAAACGCATCTAGATACCCTACATACGCTGGCTTGTTTTTGATATATAAATCTGGGAAATCAATGTATCGCAACATGTATCCGGAGTATCCCAGCGTCCACACTTGATATTGCGTAAATGCAAGCTTGATAGTGTTTGGTACCAGATTATCGTTTCCAGTTATAATATTCGAGACTCGGACTCGGACTCGAACTTGAGGTTTGGTGACTCAAAAACAAGTTTGGCAATTTGGTCAGGTAAAGAACCTAAATGATCATAATTTAAATAGTGATGAAGTGCACATGCTAACAGTACAATATGTATGACGCTGCTAAAGGGCATGTGCATCATACGAATGCAAAAGAACCACTGGGGGCATGACCACTTTTGAAGGTATTAAACTACGGCCTTGTCCATTAGCAGCTAGAATTACAATGAAACATCCATGACACAATGGAATATTATGGAATGTTGAGACAACAACTGGCTAATAAAGACGAGGCTATCTCACATTTCACGTAAAACACGAGTTTTAAACCCAAGACCATTGTGTAATTTCTTTCCCATCAATAACTAAGATCTTTAAAAAAATTGTTACACCAAACTAATATTTACTAACTGTCTTTACCCATGCCCTAAGTATAAAAACCTGGTTTAGACGTTTTGGGTTAACTGAGTTACGACATACCATGGTATAATGAGGAATTGAGCAGCTACATTTTCTCTGAAGTACCGCCAATTTACAGCACGGCTTTTCAACATTAGCATTTCCTAACCAATTTCAACCATCTAGCTTTTCGTGCTGACCACAGAATAATAGAGATTTTCACTTTCATCTAGCTTTTCGTGCTGACACTATTTCTACAGAACAACAAAGTCTCAGCGAGTCCCGTGCATTAAAACAAAGTCGAACCAGGTAAGTGGAACTTTTAAGACTTGTATTGCGTATAAGAAGGAACTCTTACCACAAATTGGGGTAGACAGAACTAATTAACCTAGATCGGAAGTCTGCCTAGATAAGAACAACTATTATTCCAATTTCGAGTCAGATATAGACTTGGTGCCAAGTCGGCTAATGTTCACGTACGGAAGGTACCGGTTACTGGTTCCACACACACAAAATATCACTGCAATGCGCGAAGCCTGGTTCCCAGACCAAATGATGCTGACTATTGATGTTCAATAACCGACTTGGCGAAAACGTTTTCTATTTTGTACACAACATATGGGAGTATGTTGAATCGCTAGCGAATTATATGCGAGCACTCTGATTGGTTCAGATTCCAGCGTGTATTCTAGGCCGCTACGGAAGGTCATTCTCATTACTTCGAGGGTTTGTTCTTTGTGTTGTGCAACATTTCAAAATTCGTTATAGGGCATACATGACTGAAATAAATCAAGTATGTCACAATGATACATTTTATTTCTATACACAATTGGCCAAGCTGAGTGATTTGGCCTTAAAAACGTCGCCCGATCTGCAAACATGTCCCGACGTATTGAGAAGAACTCCCCATGTGACGGAATGAACGAGTCCTCATTTGCATTGCGGTGCGCCATTGGATCTCACCGCAATAATGCACTGCATATGTATTGCGCTTCACGCATACATGAATAACGGTGGAAAACGTAACCTTCAAGTCGTTAGATATGTTGCAACCCGGCCGATTGAGTTAAACTGAAGTTCACAGACAAAATACGACTATCTAACGACTTGTCATTTAGTCTAGGTCAGATAGAGTTTAGTCGGCAATCTACCATGTGTAGCCTCAACTAAGGGTAAAGAGTCCCACTGTTGATGCCTCAGACGAGTCCAAGTCTAGAGGAGTCAACCGCAACAGAAAATTCGGGGTATAACATTTTTACAAAATTTGGAATATAAATGTACAAGCATTGCATTCACTGTGTGGACTTCCGAACAAAAGATGTGCACATAAACCAGGTAGCAACGACTTTGTGTGGACTTGCCCACGTCCACACAATGTTTCCCTCTTCTAAGGAAAAAAGGTTTAGAGCAATTGTTGGGTTAGGTTTATCCGTGGCAAAATGAAAAGAAACACTAAAAGAGAATCGAAAATTGGTTGAAAGTATTTTAACACTGTGAGTAAAATGAGGGTTTTTCAGATCTCTTTCTTAACTATACGAAAACAAACGAATGCACACACTAGGTATGTTACATAAACATGTAGGTGTATAAGTGTGCACACCACTGAACACCATTCCAGTAGCTCCTGCAGCCAAGCTGATGCCTTGCACTCCTTTGGACCCCATCAGTGAGGCCGAGAGGGGGAAATGTTGTTTCGGCATCCCAGTTTCGCCATTCTCTCCACCCAGGCCAGCGACCTGGTGAGGTCACTCCAACCTCACTTACTAGTGTGGAAACAGCACAGGAGGCTGAAGTTTCAATGCATAAACCAAACTTAGTGGCATAAACCCAAACCCGTAGCAAGTGGTTGCTTCCGTAGGCACGGAACATGGCATTCTACTGGTCATTAACCTCCCGCTCCAAGTTGACAAGCCCCTGCCAATTAAGGTGATGACCTGCCAGTGTCTGCATGCTATAATGGGAGCTTGGAGCTTGTTATTTCGGCATAACAAGCAAACGGAAACTCTGCACAGGCAAGCAAGATATAAGACGAAACGTCTAAGTAGCCTCCTTCGATTCGCAAGCTGGAATGTTGGGAAAATGGGCAAAGACATTTCTGATGATATGACCTGCTTCAAGTAGGCGACTCTAGAAGGACTGCCATCATCGTCAGGCAATCGCCAGACTGAATTGTGAACATTGCAGCCCTCCGTGGATCCCTCAAGCGCACTACACATTATTTTGGAAAGAACGTGGACAAATTAAATATTAAAGAGCCCTGTCAGCTGGAGTTTGTTTTGCAGTCAGGAACTCACTCCTTGGGTCTGTAGAAGCGCCTAGAGGTGGATCGGCAATTGCTGTGAATCTGCCACACCATTGCTTCCGGAATTGCTTACATAGTTAGAGTGTATGCCCCTAAGTTGTGTGCGTCCAATGACATCAGATATGACTTCAATGATGAGCTCCACGGTCTGATGCCATCATCTACTCCTCTGAATACATCTAATTACAAAAAAGGTCTGACGGGACACTCATCATCACTATGGCTTCACTCCGACCAAACAAAGGTGAATTAGGTGACCGGTGCTAAACAGATGTTGAGAAGTTGTTTGCAGACTCAGTTCGCACTGAGGAAGCTCTTCAAAGGGACTAACAGACAGTTTCGACCATGCTGCAGTGGGTATTGCCTCACAATCAGCCTAAGGAAGACCAATCAGTGCCTCACAATCAGCCTAAGGAAGACCAATCAGTGCTCAGGATGCCAGCAATATGCCCCGTTGATCAAGATTACTACACGAAGGTTACTACACGCACTGGAAGTGGTTGATAGCTCCACCCGCCTGGGATTGACGACTCTGAGCAATGTGTCCTTTGACACAGAGCTAGACATATGTTGAACGGATTCTGCAGGGAAATTGTAGGGACATGAAAGCCTGTGACTTGGCGCCAACACTTGGGAGAATGTGTCTCTACTAGGCATGCATCCTTAGCATGTGCTCTACAAAAGCGAGATGTGGACCTTCCATAAGTAGTGCCTCAAATGCACACTGGGCATCACCTAGCTGGCGGATCGAATCCCACTCTGAGATATCTTGGTCCTTTCATCTTGGACTCCCCTGCATATTCTCCCTGCTGATGTAGGGTCACCTTCCCTGGTGAGGGAATATTCGATGAAACATGACGGTTGTAATGCTTGCTGAAGTGTATCCTAAATATCCAGGTTACCACTGGCAACCACCACGTATGGCAACCAGCCCTTCGATTCCAGAACACGTGCAAGAAGGACATCAAGGCCTGTGATGACATGGACCCCTGCACTTGGGAGGTTGACGTGGAAGACTGGTTTACCTGGCGGAAAGACTGAACACAAGGGTAGTCGCATGGTCACTTAGGTGGACAAAAGAAATAACCAGCTCGCGTAGAGTAGAGGGTCTGCCGAATGCAAAGATCTTCCTTCATCTGCTACATGTGTAACACCGACCTCTGCAGCCGCAACAGACACTGTGTACTCAGAGCGCAAATAACATCTATGATCTTCTTTCAAGACTAAGCTCTTCCAACTGTTATTTTTAAGTTTTATACCCCAAACTATTTTGCTCTTTATCTCATTACTGTGAAATTGACCTTGTACATTTCAAGACCAACCTTCCTTATCCTTGGTGTTTCTTGTACAAACCACAGAAAGCAAAAGAAAATAGATATATTAGTATGTAAACCAAGTGATTGCCCGGTAGGACTACAAGATGAAATAACTTAAGTGATGGGGGGGGGGGGCAGGCGGAGGGGAGTTAAGTTGACTTTGTGATCCCCCCGGTAAAAACAACGTTGACTTGTGATGCAAACACAATATCTTCTAATGCATAATAGACTTACCTGTTCTTTTCGAGGTTCAACAGTGAGGATCTTCTTAAAGGCTTTGATCAGCCAATGTGGATCCAGAATGACAACATCTTTCAGTGTCTGACTTTCCTTGGCACCATCCCCTCCAAAGTATATTATGTGGCCAAGATCGTGATAGAACTTTAGCATCGTCAGCAGTTCAGGTTCATCTTCAATCCCAAAGCCATCCATTACCTAGCATCAAAATGAAGACACTGAATTACTTTTTTGTCTATCAATCTCTTCTGAATTCACACATTATCGCATATCTTGAAATGAAATCATTCCAATGCACACACGTAAGAACGTGCTGCAGAAATCAACATGTTTCCTGTTTCCATTGAATAAATTCGGATCTTCAGAACAAAGTGAGTAAGCCCCTCTTCAAACATCGAACTTTTGCCGTGTCTAATTCAAATTCTGACACGGCAGTTTTTGTTAGACTTATTATTATTATTAGTATTATTATTATTATTATTTATTCGACCTCAACAGAACAGCAACAAGCAATCAAAACGGCACAAAATGTAAACAATTAAATGACAAAAGAACGAATAACCGAATACAACAAATAGCCAAAAGGGCAAAAACAGAACAAATGAGCGGAGGGCAGCCAGACGAGCATGGAGAACGGATTCAGTGAAAAAAAAACCGAGGTAGGTATAAGAGGGTAAGAGAGGGGGCATGCAAGTAAAGGGGCTGAATCTTAGGAAGGACACAATGAATAAACTGCCACAAAAAAACAACAGTATTATGCGGGTCAGGGACAACAAAAGTAAACTAAATTACTGTTGCTCGGAAGCATGTTGTCCCAGACATAATACGACAAGGACGAGAAATAGCACACAAATTAACACAGAGTCGAGGGGAGGGGGAAGGACCAGTTCCTACACTTGCATGCTCCCTGTCAAAACCGGGAGGACAAAATTAAATCATGGCAAACAAAATCAGACATTTAAACAGACATCTTTCAGTTGGCGGAGAAATGTTGTCAGAGGACAGATCACAGCAGCATCCCGGATGTGAGATGGAATATTATCCCACAACCTTGGGAATCGACGGGAAGGAGAATGCAGCAGCGAATCTGTGCGCGCAGGAAGATGGCGGAATGTGAGAGAGTCAATGTGACGAGTGTTGATAACAATGTTGCTTCTAAGGGATTCACATGTTGAAAGACCGTACAAAACCTTAAAAACAAAGGAACATAACAAATAGTTACGTCTCAGGGTTAAGGGGTGCCAGTTAAGCCGCTGCAATCTGTCCTCGTACGACATTTCCCCTCGCCTTTGACCAAGAGCAAGACGAGTAGCTGTCCGCTGGACTTTCTCAAGCTTACGTTGTAGAATTGAGGTGTGCGGGTGCCATGCTGGCAAACCATACTCAAGGATGGGGAGGACTAGTGATTTGTATAAAGCGAAAATAGCCTTAGGGGAGGATCCTCTAGCAACTGTTCTTATAAACCCTAAAAGGCGATTGGCTCTAGCTACGATACAGGAAATGTGAGTTGTCCAGCTGAGATTAGCATCTATAGTGAGGCCTAGATATTGATAAGAGTTGGTAGTGATGAGTGGGGTGTTTCCTAGTTTATAGACTGGAGGATTGACATGGCGGCTTCTATTGATATGCATAACTTTGGTTTTGCTAGTATTGAAAGTCATATCGTTTAGGTCACACCAGTGATTAAGACTATTTAAATCTAACTGAAGTTCTACCTGATCATTGGAACATTGTATGTCACGATATAAGAGGATATCATCTGCAAATAACACGCAAATAGATGAAACGGAATTGGATATGTCATTAACAAAAAGATTAAATAACAATGGTCCGAGTACGCTACCCTGGGGTACGCCAGAGGTGACGTCCACCCATGGGGAGACGCCGCCCCGGAAGAGTACTCGCTGCCGGCGACCAGTCAGAAACGATCGGATCCAATGCCACAATTCACCCCGCACGTTAAATGTTGTTGCTAGCTTCTCGAGCAGGGTGTGATGTGGCATTGTATCGAACGCCTTAGACATGTCAAGGAAAATGGCATCCACTCTGGGAGGTCGGCGTCTGTCCAGGGTTGATGACCAAGAATGGTGAATGTTGACCAGCTGGGTAACGCAGCTCCTGTGTTTAACAAAGCCGTGTTGTATAGGGTTGAGGAGGGCAAATTTAGTTAAATGGTCGTTAATGGCTTGGGAGATAATTCGCTCAAGTACTTTGCACATCACAGATGTCAGAGCAACTGGTCTATAGTTGGTTAATAAAGACTTATCCCCTTTTTTGTGAACAGGTGTTATATTGGCGCATCGCCAAGTGTCCGGCAACACTCCCGCATTGAGCGATGCACCAAACAACAAACTGAGCGGATGAGATATATCAGGGGCAATTTTATTTAGAATACCAGGCAAGATACCATCAGGTCCAGGGGATTTATTGGAAGGGAGGTTTCGAAGCAATGCGGCAATTTGGCCAACAGATGCATCAATATGCGTTAAGCAAGGAATGGGTAGCGAGCAAGGAGGAGGGATATGGGGAACTGGACCTGAAGGTTTACAGACAGAAGAAAAATAATCACTGAAAGCTGAAGTAATTTCATCAGGATGGGTAATTTTACGATCGTTATGGCTAAATGACGGTGGGGGAGGTGATTGTTTCCGGCTCCTAACAAAAGACCAGAATTGACGTCTGTTATCGTTAGATTCAAACAACTTATTAACATATAGCCAGTAAGCTCTGCGAACAGAAGTTTGTAACTTATTTCTGACAGTTTTATACAAATTCCAATCAATCAAGAGGCCGGATCTGCGAGCTAAGTTAAAGAGTTTATGCTTTCTATTGATCAGTTTCTTTAGTTCAGGAGTGATCCAGGGCGAGCATCGGGATCTACGCTTGGTTACCCTGGGGATGGAATCTCTGATCGCAGCATCAAATAAGATCAGAAAGTTATCAGCAGACTGATTGATGTCTCTGGAATCAATGAAGGCAGACCAGGGAATGAGATGTATTAACTGCCGCAAATGTTCAAAATCGCCTCGTTGTGTTTGTAGAAAGGACCGTAGTACTGCAGGACGAGGGGGAGGTTGAGAGGAGCGAAATATAATATTTACTGCAAGGTGATCAGAGTTAACAGGATTGGGGGCGGTGGAAACGGAGAAAACATGGTCAGCATGGTTGGTGAAGACTAAGTCAATGATTGAACCCTGACTAGAATTGTTTTGGCTGTGGTTGGGTCTCGTGACAGACGTCACCAGCTGTTCAAGATTGAAGTCATCTGCAATGTCTAGAAGCCGGGTTCGGTGGGGAGATGATGTCTGTGCAGGGCAGAGGTCAACAGTGAAGTCACCGACGATGAAACATCCATCATTGCCGTCTATGTGGTGTGATTCAATGGCCTCCTTAAGCTTGGTCCAGAAGGCTGCCGAAGACGAAGGTGGACGATACAGGAGCCCAAGTAGCCAAGTTTCAAAGCCCAGCTTCAAGGATACCCACACAAGCTCGAGGTCGTCATGCCCAGGGACGCACAGCCTGGTAGGAGACAGTGATGACTTAACGGCTGCCAAGATACCACCGCCACGGCGTCCTTGGCAACGATCCCTGCGTATAATGACGTAGTCGTCGGGGAAGCCAAGTACTCCGTCAGTATCAGCAGGTGATAGCCAGGTTTCGGTGAGACACAAGATGTCGGGGGAAGTTGAACTGAGGAATGCTTCAAGTTCAGGGCCTTTGCTGCGAATACTGCGGGTATTGCATAAAAGGCAGGATATGTTTTTCCCGTGGGCTTCAGATCGATTTGTTCCAGGTCCGGGATTTGGGTTAATGTCACCACATAATAGTAGGGGTACGGAGAAGGTTGGTATTGAGTTCTTGTAGTATAACGTGCGGGCTTTGGAAAACCCCTTGATAACGACATGGCAGAAGGTCGACTTTTGAAGAAACAGACGACTTTCTGTCGAAACGTCGACAGGAATTCCCTCTCCGAATTCGTAGTAAGCATCATAGCCAGCAACCGGTATTATTCACTAAACGCAGACAGGATCGGGATGTTGTGACCTTTTTTTTTTTTTTTTTTTTAGAAAGGGGGAGCAGCAGGATTAACAAACAAACAATGAAAAGTCTCCTTGTTAATAACACCTGCAATGAAATAATATGATTGTTGAAGGACAGCGTGCCTCCTTCTAACAGAAAGAATTTTGTTGCCGTATTGTTTGGGTGCAGGCCAGTAAAAAGGCCCTAAATTGCCAACGCCGGCACGATTTGTATGCCCTTGTTTTTTTCGCTATTAGAGCACTTTGTGGGCCATGAACCTGAGGGTTTTAAAACAAGATGGGTTGAAGCCGTGCACAGGACTGCGAGCTCGAATTTCCGTGAAATTTGGATGAAAGTGGGCCCTTTTTGGCTCTATTTTGCAATGGAGTGCTGCCATTTTTAAATCGGCAATGGGCCGAAGGACTACTTTTAGGGGTGATCATCTTTGGATGGAATTTTCTTCCAAACGTCATCACATTTCCCAAACAAAAAAACTAAGCGGAAAATAAAAGATGATGAAATGAACTTTATTCGGATGGGTGTCTCAAACACCCACACATGCGTAATTTCCACTGAGGTATAAATGGAAGTCTATTTTCTGGTCTGCACCCCATATGACTCCTGTCCTGGTCCACCATCTTGAACGACCGAATTACGCTCAACAGAAAATCGATGTTTGAAACAACTGCCCAACATCTGCCGCTTTTTTGCGACTGCAAATAACGGCAGAAGTTCGACGTTTGAAGGGGGCGTAACATATAACTGCTCACATTTGCTTTCTAACTTTTTGTTTAAAGGAAACATGTAGTGGAAATTCAGCTCATCTTGTTTTCATGCACATTACCATGTGTTTCAACAATACATACAAGATCTTAATACTTGTTTTCATTGGAAGTGACAAGAAAGTGGTAGTTTTTATTAGCAAATCCTTTCATCAATACACGTAAAGGGCGCTATTTTGCTTTTGTCACAAAAGGTACTCCTTATCAAAAGTGCATATGAACAGGACAACAATTAGTTCTTCAAAATTACCCACACAAAAGTTTTGAAGAAATATTAGCCACTACTGTTGTCCAAACAAGCTGTGTAACACAATAAACAAGTAAAAAGTGGTACTTACTTCAAGAAAAATGAAGAAGAGTTAGATATTTATTTTTACACAAAGCTATGGAGACACTACTGTTCTGCCTTGAATGACATCACGCTTTGGCTCATGAATATGGAAATTTTCATGAGCACAACAACTAAAATGTTGAAATTTCTCCCTTTTACTGCTACAAAGGAGGTGGAAAGTCAGAGTTACATGGCAAGAAAGCTGTTTTAAATGTATTTAAGTCATAAAAATCCTATTACATGTTCTCTTCAAAGCTTACTTGGTCCTTCACATGCGATGTTGGCTGATTTTCACCTGTCCCGATGGTGAGGGAGCTAGAAATACTACTGTCCAAACAGACCACTGAATACTAAGTTCCAACCAACCAGTTGTTTAATAGTATAGGAAAGGCTTATGTTGAGTCAGCCACATTTACTGCATCTGGTTTACTTGGTACCACCAGCAATTATACACGAAACTACACGGATCCACTTCCCAAGCATGCATGTTAATTGCATGGGAACACAGTTAAATTCTGAGGAGTTCAGTTCACATAAGAGGTACGTTATCTGTACTAAATCAACATCAACATCAAAATAGTACCTGCTTCAGCGTCATAACAGGTTTTCCACCACTTATCTTTCCCTTCTTATCATCAAACGTCAGCCACTCCAAAGGGATTTTTTCTCCCATGTAAGGCTCTTCTTCTGCTACGTCTTCTATGTGCTTGCGTAGTTCTTGAATCTGTTTCAGGATATAATTTTAAAATAATGAGGACTCAAATCTCGTTGCAATATAAACAGCTTGTTTTCATCTCAAATTTTCATATGACATTTACATATTTAGTGCTTATTTAAAGGGATATTCAATTGACCACTACATAAAGCACTAAATCTGTCTCACTGTAGTGAGAATGATGCCAATTGAGTCCAACTATCCCTTAAAATCCCTTAACATCTTGATATCTTCCTTTTTAGGGGATGGAACTTATAGTAATTAGTGGAATTTATCCGACTTAACAAAATAATGGCTATCATGATTTCAACAAAGGTAGGGCCTCACAAGATTGGACACAAATTTGAGTGAGTCCTGGTTCAGTCAAATATCCGATCATTCTTTTTTACAGAAATTATTTTATTTTATAATTATTCTATTTCCTATTTTTCAGCATAAATATTCAAATACCTTTCTGTTGTCTTCTAGAGAGTTCTCTACTGAGTAGAATTTAGAAACCACATGTCTGTAGTACGGCTTGTCCTTGATCTCATTGTGAATCCGGTCAAATATTTTCTTTATCTACACTTAAACAAAAGACAGGTGAGCTAAGGTCAGAAGAGACGAGATGGTTATATTCTGAATAAAATTTCCACATTGAAATAGTTAACACCTCCTCATTGGCACACTGGCCAAGCAGAAGTCTTCTGACATAAACAATAAGTGCAAAATATGGTTATTGTCCACCCTTGATACACAAAATATATGTAGGCACTCCTTGTTAAATCAAATTTTAAAAAGGCTCACCAGTACCACACATGCACTTGAATTTGTGCATAACCACAAATGCTCATTTCCTTATCCGACATAAACTATACAGAAGGTCGGACTCACCAAAGTTTTACGTTGATCTTCTGGCATATCATCCCCACCAACACTGTTTCTGTGTGTACCAACTATGAATATTGGCGGGGAGTTCTGCTTCAATTCCTTTTGTGAGTAGTTTTTCTTGGTGTAGGTGTAAATTGACTGCATCCAGAAATCCAAATACTGAATAGGGGATGTCCTATATGTGACAGAACCTCCGCTTCCCTGGTGGAATAATACAAAGATGTTATCTGAGACACAGCTACGGACAGGAAAGTTTTAGTTAATACTCAATTCCAGAACGTGATTATAGACCTCAACAATGTAGGTACAGTGCATCCCATCCTCACAAGCCAAGTCGTGAACAAGTATGCATTGCTGGCAAGTAAGGGTGAATATTAAAACACTACTGCAAATTACAAGTCTTTTTAATTCTGGAGAATCTGGAATCTGGAATCTGGAATGCATGTGGCTCGAGCATGGAGGAATAGTAACTGGTGAGTCTTGCATTAAATTTATATTCTACAATTTCCCAGGTTGCTACTTGTTTTAAGGACATTGCACGTAATCTGCTGGTCTATTTGTCATATCAACATGTACATGTTTAACCACAAAATTCACTGACTTTCCATGCTACATTAACATGTATAGTGTTTTCTGGCAATCATTGCAAGGTATTTTCAGAATGTGTGAAGCAGCCTAATTTGAATTATGCCTATTCTGCAATTACATGTACATTTTAAATATCGTAAACTTTTATATTTCGTTGGAACTGTAGTTGTTCTTAACTAGCATCAACATGACAACTAAATTGGCAGGAAATCCTTCAGTTCCTAATATAGTATGTTTTCTTTAAGTATCAATAGAAGTAACACACACAGGTAGGCCAAAAAGTAGGTGGCAACGTCCTTTTTTTCCGACACACACAAGACACTTTGGTAAGTACCTGCATGTTCTAAAACATGCCAATCATGGTAGTAACTGTGTGTCTGCTTGATTCACCAGAGCAATACCAGCATTTTGTTTGCAATTACTAACAGGACAAACTGTACCCGATATCTTATTGAAATTTGGCATAAATATAATAAATCTCAAACACATGGTCTGTTCTGGATATAAATCATTTTGAAAGGTGCTCAATTGTTGCCATTTAACTAATTCAGATCACTATACAAACACTTTAAATCTATTTGTGAATGCATCAAGTTTTGATATAATCTATGGAATAGCCGCTTGCACACAAACGTCCATGATATTCTCGCATGGTGATTTGGTGATTAGGCTTATTATGCAAAGCAAGAAGTGTTCTGACCTCCAAATTCTGACCATTCAGCGAGCGCCTTCTATCGCGCCTTCCTTCAGAACCTTCAGAAATGTATACTGCATGAAAACGCATGGAGGGGCTTTCTGAACATACAGTCCGTATTAACCCGTTGCTGTATTACAAAAACATAGCAGCCAAAATTGACCTACCAACAGCTTATAATCTACATATTTGATCAAAATGATGTCACATTTTGTCGACTCCGGTTGGCTGGCGCGCGGGATCGCATGAAATGTGTATGCTCGGATATATCAGACGTTTGTTGTGTGGTTCTGCACACGTGAATGTGTGAATGATCCTCAGACTAGTTTTTATATGAATCTTGATACAAAATAAATTGTGCTTACATCGTTACATGCTGCATTATCTGGGAACGGCACTGGTTTGTCAAGATCTTGACTGAGGTTGAAAACAACCAGGTAGATCGCCCGAGAAGACAGAAATGTCTACAAACAGATTTGATTAAAAAAAAGGTAGGCCACCATTGTGTAGTTCTATATGACGTATAAGACTTTTTTGTTTGTGCAATTTGTTAAGTTCTATACAACTGACACAAAACAATTTTCCAATAAACAATATTTTCCAAATAAAAAGTTCAAATAAACATTAGGCTCCTTAAACAATTACTTGCGTGGTCTTAAAAGCCACGCCCATTTTGAAATTGAAATTGCTAGTTTTTCCCGAAGGATTTTTTTGCTGTATAATTGTTAGGTGCCATTGCTGACGCACCACCATGCAACACAGTATTAAATATACATGTCAATACTCAACACAAACAAATGTTACTTACCTGGTGGGTTGTATAGTACAAATCTTGGCCGGCAAAGTCCCAGATGTTAAGAGTAGGTTCAAGATCTGTAGAGCGATACTTTTCTTTCATTTTCATCGGCGTAGATACAGCCTTTTTAATGACTTCGTCGTGAATGAATGACTTTTTCGTTGTGCCACGTGGTTTTGTTTCAAATGCCTGGGTTGGTGAAGCTATCGTATAAAGAAGTCATTGTTGAATAATTAGAAAACATCATACTGCTTTATGTCCCGAAATGCCAAACTGTGTGATTCCACGATTACATTTGCAACAGCAGTTGTGGTCATTGTGGGTGTCCTTTTTTGGAAACAGTGCTGCTACGTTTGTGGTTGAGACGTGGTCCCATTGGGGGTCTACACTTTTTAATTTAAATGTATCAATTCAATAATTCTGAACATGATAATATTACTAACCTGCTGCAGATGCTTGAGGTTGGTGTGCAGTGCTAGACTGCCATTGTTTCTGGTCATCAAGCAAACACAAAGAAGAAAAGAAGAAAAGAAGTCTACACAAACTGATCATGAACTTTAAATTAACTTGGTTTACAGGTTATCATTGTCACATTCAATGAGCGAAGTGCCAGCTTTGGGGAAAACTATTAATACCTGTACCTGCCAAACGATTTTTGCCATGTTCCTTGTACTAAATAACACCGTACTATAGAAAAGTGAATGTATCACCTAAATGTTGTTGTTCGGTACGCTGTATACCATTGTGTGTATTTACATTCATACCGATGGAGGGCTAACGCACTATCACCACTGTCGTCCACCGTGCTTCACAGTCACATACCGGCAAAGGTTTACATGATTATTTCTCTATTATTGCTCGCTGGTTTTGTCCTCAATCAACATTATCTCCTTAAGCTTTCAACCCATATCCTGCTTCTATAAAAGCCTGAACGACTATATATTCATATGTGGCTCAAATTCTGGACTTCTGTATTTGTGCCACACACCCCGTGCTAAACATCCTGAAGACTTTGTATTCTTCATTATTCTAGTATGCTTTTTCACTGATATTCGTCATAAAATACTAACAACTTAGGGAAATGAAGACCCATGACCTCGAGAACATGATCCAGCTATTTTTTGACTAATTCTGAAGCCTCCAACTGAAAAATAGAGGATAACTAGACATCTGCAGACACAGAATTAACTTTTTCAGGTTATTCACCGGTTAATGTGTACTCTGGTATTATCGCGATTTTAGCTACATATAGCAGGAAAACTCATCGATGTCCATTGCAGGTATGGAAAGAGTATCCTTCTTGTTTATATAAAAGCCGAACAGTTGACTCTTTTTATTACAAACTCTGTTACAACAAAAGTATAGTTATAGTGAACATAAAGCCTCAGTTGCAACTTAGCATTAATATATTTATTTAAAACAATATAACAAACATTAATTTCCAGCTGAGGTTTTACTATCTGTCAACTGTTTATTTCGATTGCTGTGCTGCATGTAACTTACTTTGCCTCTTTCTCTTTCAAGACCAATCATCAACTCGTGTTGAGTGAGGCTAGTTGAAGCACCTATAAATATACACAAAAACGTTTGTAAAAGGGTCACAGATCCGCAAGAAAACAATCTGTATGGATTCTGTAAGAAGATCTAAGGAAAGAAAAGCTTTTGTTTTAAGGCAGAGAGAAAGGTTCATATTTCAAGCCACAAAAGTTTTTTCAGTTAGATTATTAGTTTCTTATATGTTTTGACTTGCATCAATTAAAGATGGGCAGACAACTTGTACATAACTAACCGTAATAACCAATATTTTATGACAACGTTTTAAACTGATAGCAATTGAAGAAATGTTATATTTCCAAACATTTGTCACTAAGTAAGCAATTACAAAAAAAATATTATAATGTTTCAGCTGTACCCATTTGAGGAAATGTTGATGCCCAGACATGCATTTTTATCACTGTCCTTTTTTACGAGCATGCAGGTTTTGTTAACAATACATTTTACAAGCATGCATACGTGAGTTCAACTGAATAATTATGAGGACATTATAGTAACAATCCAAAATGGCTAGTATTATACCCTAAAGTTGCGTGCATATTTTTCCTCAGTCCAGATATCATCAAGTAGTCTCGCTAAACGTCAGTATTGATGAGCTTCAAATTCACAAAGTTACTTACTGGCACAGTTACCCTAACAAAAATAAATGGGAAATTACGTCAAAATGATAACGTCTTGATATTTAGGCCAAACAAGAAAACAGGGGAAAAAATGAGGTTAGTGTTGCTTACAATAATTATATTAACATCAAAACATTTTCTTACAAATAATTTTGGGAATATCCTTAAACTTGTTCAAGTCTCCCTCGTTAGGCAACCCTTCACCTACTTGTAGCCCAATTTACGGACACCTCATTTTTCCCCTTTTGTTTGCTGGGCTAAATATCAAGATGTTATCATTGTTCACATGATTTTCCACAAGGTTTTAATGGGTAACTGTACCAGTAAATAAGCAACATGGTGAATTTGAAGTGCATCAATACTGATTTTTGGCAAGATTACGTGATGATATCTGGAGACAAGGGAAGAGTACGCAACTTTAGGGTGTAATAGTAGTCATTTTGGATCGTTACCTATGTCCTCGTAATCATTCAGTCACGTAAATGTTTTCGAATATGTTATCGAAGTAAGGACGTGTCAGTAGAATCACCAAAATAAACGTTTCAAAAAATATATAATATACCGAATTATGGGACCAAATATATTACCCTACAGGTGTTAAAGATGTATGCAAATTAGGCATATTTGCACTAAAAATCCAGCTTGGTATCCATCATTTTCTGATTTAGCAGCCCACAATTAGGTGAAGTAGCTATGTTATTAACTTCTACTCAAAAATGCCTCTTCATTTAACATGATCGCCTAGACTATAACTCCGCCTCAATACTAAACGTATAAGGTATATTTGTCTCAAGTCACATCCAAACCACTAACAACATCAGTTTTTAACTGTAGCAGAAAAATCATAGTTTAAATGTGTCTACCTCTTTTACAGTGCCAAGATTGTGAAGAACTGATGTTTATGGCGCAGTCAGTACTGATGCCTTCTGTTGATAACTCATTGATGTTGAAACTGTAAAAATAAAATCATTCTACCTTGAAACAAATGTACAATCTAGAGGTCCATGTGTGAGTAACATAATATATCACGTTATTTTTTTTTTTTGGGGGGGGGGTTACTTTCAACGATTTAGAGTGCTTGGGGTTTATTTACGGCATTTTCTACTGTTACATTACACTTGGACAGTATATATTAACTACAGACATTTCTTTCTCTCCTTCCATTTATCCCACCCCTTTAGACCTGTAGACCCAACCCCTCCCCACTTTCAAGTTCCAGTTTTAGGTTTTTGTAAGTTTGAAATTCTAAATATGTCTAAAAAATAACTGCACAAAATTCAGATCGCAATCGGTCATCATGGCATCACCTCCACCAAAAAATGCTCCAGTGTTAGTCCTAACATTGAAGCTGAAGAGTGGGATTAAACAGTACATGGTGAACCTGAGCCGAAGCTATTAAAGTTCTGGCCTCGAAAGCAAACGGTCTAGCTTTAAGAGAGCAGATCCGTTGCAGGGATATATGCTAGGCAATGGGCACAATTGAACCCGATCGTCAATACGATCAGTATATGCCACGTAATTCTAGAGATGTTCTGCTGAAACCATTTATATTGTTTTAACCATCATGACCTTGACTTTTACCCTTGTCCCTATGGGTTTCAAAACCAATAGCCTATTTTACAGTCAGTGCGCAGGGTTCGGAAAAGTGCTTGCGTTTATTTGCAGCGTATGCATAACTCGCTTGGTAAAATGAATATTCATGAGATCGGGGACCACATTTGGAAATTCATTTTGTTGATAAATAGTCTTTAAAGGAAAGTTTTTACTCACAAATATAGTAAAGAATACTCAATCCTAATTGTGAAATGAGATTTCTAAAATTTTCATAAAGTATTTTAAGAAATAGGAGGATGAAAGTTTTACTGAAATTGTCGAGAAATTTCGGTTTGCGAAAACCGTCTTTTTTTCTATATAAAACGAAACCGTGCAGCATCATCTTACAGTTCCATGAGAAGCTTTGTTATTAAGTTCACCAATTTTCATAACCATGAATCATGTAAGTACTCAAAACAGTCGAGAGCACGCAAAATTTACGGCCAATGTGAACGTTCAGGATACGAAAAAAATGACACTCTGGAAGCACGTGTAAGCGCCGCACGGCATAAGTGTACATTCCTCATTGGGCAAGACCCGCAACCAGCACGCGTTTTGACCAATCACGTAACAGCACACGGGGCTTCCGTATGTCGGGTACCCCGCTCTACGCGTACTTATGGATATCGTATAATCTCGAACTAAATGTGCCCAACTATAGAAAATAAACTAGAGATGTGTCCCCTCTCAAAACGATATAGTTTCAACGACTGGGTTTGCAAGAAAATAATATACTGTCAATGCTATTTCTATTTCTAGACCGTTATGATTTAAGATTCGTGTAATAAACCAATATTTTTTGGCAATAATGTCTCCCATTTTCTTGATGCTTTTTGTTTGTTGACAGTTTCAATGTGCATGAGCATGAAAAATATAAACACAAAAAACAATGTGTATGAACATGACAATATAAACACAAATAATCAAAGGCATGTCTATTTTCTTGACTGAAATTCTGGAAAACGATATAATCATAAAATCAGAAGTGCAAAGTTACATATTTTTGAGCTGGTTTTAATAGTGTTGCACCCCCGGTTGGCTCGATAGAGTTACCACGGAGTGTTCATTAAATGTTCCTGCAAATAGATGACACAGAACGTCCAGTGAGTATACGGTTGGCTAACAAAACTTTAATGCAGTGCTCACTCACAGTCATCCAGTATGAGAATGGCTATATAATTTATAAAACTGAAATAAATCTAAGCATGGTTTTGAATCAATTCTAAACTTGCAATCAATAACTAAGAAATATTTAGACTCACAGACTTGGCTAGTCTAGGAGTTAAGTCTCTACTGCTTAAGTCCCTAATAAAAATGAAACTGAAATCTTGGAAA